CAACCTAATAGTGATGGCCACCAACCTACTAGCGATGTCCTCCAACCTAATAGCGGTGGCCTCCAACCTAATAGCGGTGGCCTCCAACCTACTAGCGATGGCCTCCAACCTAATAGCGATGGCCTCCAACCTAATAGCAATGGCCTCCAACCCAGAATTGGATCGCGCACAGGAGTTGGACAGTCTTACACAGTCTTAAAGAAGAAGAGTTGATTCCTGTAACATTAGTCCATGTTGCAACAGTGGACGAAGGATCCATGTCGGTGGCAAGGTGATTCATTTTCTCAGAACTCAACAATCTGCCAGGTCATAGAATCCAAGAACTGTATTTTTTTTAGTTAGTTAGGGAAGGGCTGGAACTCTTGCTTCCCCTCACACCGCCACAGACTGAAACCATTCCTTCAAGACATCGATTCTTGGGAAAACAGCAAGCGGAAAAGTCAGCTCCGCTAAGCGTACAACACACCAAGAACAAAATATGCAAGGCATGCATAGGCATACCAGGCACAAGGAGGTCCGGGTTTGCAATTGACTTTGATACTTCACCTGTAGTGATTGCAAAATCAACCAGAAACATGCCGGAACTAAAATCCACTCTTCTTCAGGACCCAGTATCTCTGCTGAGCTCAAGTCCGTCAAGGCATGGTTATCGCTCAAGATTTCACCGTTCTTAAGAAGGCGCTGCTTGTAGACAGATGTGCCAAAGAGAGATTTGCAATAATCTTTCAAAGACCTGACGACTTCACTAGTAGCCAGGCTACGGTTAGCGCTTGGCAGCTGTTTGATGGAATCTGCATTGAATTGAGGTGAAGACTGGTTGAGAAATCCAAAACGCACGGAGCATGACTTAGTTGCAAGCGTGCCTGACTTTGTTGCCATGTTTTAAAACGAGTCTTTCCAGTTCTTCATCATCCAATTGCGCCACCTCCTCACCCGAGATATGGCGAATGATCAGCGCCATGGAGCGAACAGACTTGTCGATCCCAAGGGCTGGCCTTTGTTCCTAGTAGCGTCCTTGCTCCCAGTAGTACGGCCAGGAGCCCCTAGTAGCAAGCGTCAATTGTATAAATGAGGAATTGTGAAGACTTCGCGCAACCAGTTTGCTGCTCTCATGTCACAGTGATGACTAGCAAGGCTATGGCTGCAACCAACCGCATCCTCGCAATCGAATGGCTTCAAATGATGCGTAGAAACAGCTGCCAATCTGGCCGTGGTTTCCGTGGCCATGACACTGCCTGACACTGACCTGAGCTATTCTCTTCGAGTGGCACTGTCCATCTCCAACCCAGCACTCATCACAAAGTATGTCCCTTCTGGAGGCACTGGCACCGGGCAGTACCTCGGTCGCATTTAGCCACAAGGGTACCCAAAGCTCCTGCCCTTTGCCTAGTAGAGTTCTTGCTCCTAGTAGCGATGCCCTTTGTTCCTAGTAGCTTCTTGAGTTGACGTTATTGTAAGTTTAGTTTTAATGATGTGTTACTGTCACTATTATCAGGCACTGGGCAAACAGCCAGATCGGCATGAGCGGGGACCTGGTTGATAACGATTCTTTTTGGAGCTTAAAACATGTTGATGTTATCATCATGGACCACTGGCAACCAGGAGGGCACTCCACGACCTTGCTGCACTGAAGCTTTTGCGAGAGATCTGAGATTCCATCACCTTGGCCAAGATTACAAAGAATGAGAAACAAGCAGCTACTAGGGGCTCCTGGCATCGCTACTAGCAGCAAGGACGCTACTAGGGGCTCCTGGCCGTACTACTAGGAGCAAGAAGCCACTAGGGGCTCCTGGCATCGCTACTAGGAGCAAGGACGCTAGTAAACACACCGCACCTGTGGGCTGTTTTTCGGCAGGCATCGTTAGGCATCGTTCGGCCCAGTAAAGGTTTCATCAGATTTCATCCGCTTTTCGTTGCCTCACATTGTACCTACCTCCGCGTCGCTTCTCCTCTCGAGGTCTCGCTGCTTCTTCATACTTCCAATTTGCTTGTCGAGGATATTCCTTAAATCAGATGCTTTCGTAAGTTGGTTTTATGCGGGACGGCTGGGGAGGTTTGGGCCTTTCAACATGCGGGTGAGCATCGAGCTGTGCACAGTTTACTTACATTTCGACATAGGCCTCGCGCTTGTTGTCACTTTGTCAATGCTCTGGCTCACTGCCACCACTAGGGTTTTCATGGCTGTCAATTTTCCACACAAGAGGGCTACCCTTCAAACACGACGCTAGCTAGGGAAGGTAGTCGTACTCACAACCACACAGCTGGGCATCCCTCACCCCATGATGAACCAAAATTTTGTATGGGTTCCAAAGCGAATGAGAGGTTGGAGGGCTGCAGCTAGCCACGTCACACCTCACTGCATCTCTTTTGTTTAGGGTTCCCAGATATGATATGCAAATAGGGAACGAGCTAAAACACACTGCTTCGCCAGCATCTGCGGAGGTGGTGTGTTTCTTGCTGATCTGTCCAGACCGCCTTCTTCATACACTCTGAATAGATTATTTAAAAATAGGTGAAAAAGGCGGTAAGGGCTCCTTCAAAAAGGGAACCTTACCTTCTTTTTCCCCAGCTCTTTTGGCATGTCCAGCTCCTTTCTGGTCCTCTCAGGGTCTGGAGGGAATCCGCTGGACTTAGATCAAGAGGAGTGGACTTGACTCGGCAAATTCCAATATCATCATCCCTCATTGTCGCAAGAAGCAGCCCTAAGCCCTAAGCAATCTGTCCAACCCGAAACCAAACACATTCAGAAGCAAGACGTTCAACACACTGTCCCATCCCAAGCAGGTCACTAGCACGCCATTCGCCCGTCAAAGAAGTGGAGGCTTCACCTCAGGATCTTAAAGCTGTCGACCCCTCCACCGACCTAATGTCTTCTTGAGCCTTGGCATTCTGTATTCCAGGTTAAGAATTGTTCGAGCCCAAAATGTCACTTGTATGTTTTAGGCGCGAATCAAGCCCCACCGAAAATAGTCTACCCACCGCAGACGATCCAAATTACTAAGTCTCCAATCTAAAATCTAGATTCTCCTGGAGCAAGAATGGTATTCCCCACAAGAGTTGAACGTGTAAAATAGTCAGCATGAAGCGTCGAAGGCCAAGTGGCCAAACTTGTAAACCAACAGCAATCAGTGTGATTCAGTCTAGTGGTTTAGCTTTCCGGTTTAATTTCCCTAAAGGCTAGGAACCGTTCATAGAGCAAGACCCCAAGTAGGCAAGTCTTTTGCATCATTGTTGCCATTTACAATCATTTCGGATGCAAATCTTTTGCAATCCGTGTCTCAAGGCAAGTCCAACTCGTCGCCACTAAAGCCTTCATCTGAAACATTTGTTGAAAAAGCACAAACAGGTTCATCATGCCCATCTTCTGGAGTTGTCAAGTGAAGTCGTTCAGGTGTGACACTAGCGACACTAGTCACACTCACATGTCGGCCTGAAAGACGGGTTGCCAAAGCCTCATCCGCAAGCTGCTCAGCCCGCGTCCTTTGCGTAGGTTGAGTCACTGTCGGGGAGCGGCTACCAGAAGATGGCCCATCACTGCGTGCCACTGCGGACTGAAGGAGTTCCGAGAAGGTTGGAGAACTGAGAGTGGGCGAGGAAGAGCCACTGCTGTCAGCCTCACCACCTTCAGCACTCTCAGGAATTGGAACGGAGATTGCTTCAGCCAAGCCAGGAGCTCCAGCCCCAGCCCCACCGACCGCACCTGCTACAGCTGTGTTTGGACGGGAATCTGCTCGGAAGTGCTCTTTCATGCGGGAATCTGCAGAATCCTCACGGTTGTCCAACCTCAAGGACCCTGGTGCAAACCGCGAGGGACGACGGCCAGGTGGTTGCAAAGGCACACCCCGAAGATGTGGAGATGGTGCTGATGAGGCAGATGAAGGGGTCAAAGGACTGAGGGGACTCAGAATCGCATCCTTTTGCTCAAGCGGCTCAAGCGGCTCAAGCAGTACTGGCTCAACCAGTCCATCACTCCTCTGATTGATCCTCTCGCAATCGGCATCACTGGCCAATGCCAAGGATGCCAACATGCCACGAGGCCGTCTAACATCTCTGACCAAGTCCTGGTGTTTGGGTCTGTCAGGCCTGTCAGGTCTGTCAGGCCTGTCTAGCTTCTGCAGCAATTTCGCGATCTCTGCTTCCAGTTTGCCCATGCGCCCTTCGACCCCGACTGACGTGCCATCACGAGCCTCCAATGAGCCGACACGTTGCTCCAGGGACTGGACCACTGTCCAATAAACACGCTCCTCTCCTTGCACCCGGGTCTCCAGTTCAGCTACACCATGAACTGCTCTACGAAGATCCTCTTCGGCACTCTTCAAGCGTCCTTCCAAAGAACTTGAAAGCGACGGAATCAACTTGTCTTCGCCCTCTTTTTCAGGTTTCAACTTGCCCAGAGGGATTTTATCAGAGATTTCTTCTCGTAAGGAAGTCAATTCCATGTGCACCTCAGCCTTTAGTTTGGTCACAGCGGTTTGCGTAGCCTGAAAAAGCTCCTCACTCCTTTGTTCCAAGTGACCCTGAAGTCGTCTTTCAATGGATTCTAGATCTTCACCTAGCCACTCAGACATGCGTTCTGCATCCTCCCGGAGTGGTTTTGACAACCCATCGATTCGCTTGGACAAATCTCTGCAGCGGGCCTCAGCTTCAACCCGAACTGCAGCTGCTGCTGCTGTAGCTGCTTCTATGCCATCGCGACCACACTTCGAGGAAGCAGCCGCCAACTCTGCAGCCGATGCGATCGCCTTTTCCAAAGACTTAAAACGAAGATCGAAGCCTCGTAAACGACGATCAAGGCCAAGCATTGTGCGCGCTTGTACTTCCATCTGTTCTTTGGCCTCATGATTTGGGCTTTGCTGACTTTGCCTTCGTGCACCGCTTGCACTTCCGTCCGCTCTTTCCGCCTTTTTGCGTGGCGTCGCTTTGAAGCGCAGCAGCGCTAAGCCATCCTCGGCTTGTTGCAAAAAGCCTTTGATGGTTGGGCTAGGCTCGCTCATTGCGAACTTGAGCCGAATCGCTTGGGTCGATCTCTCGGAAACTCGACCTTAGAAACTGGCTTCTGCAAGAAAGAAACGGATTTAAACTCGCTTTCCGCCGAGCCTTTGATTGCAGCTGAAGGGCAAGTGAAGGCATCGAAGCCCCCAGCGGGCGCATAACCCTCTGCACAGCCCACATGCGCTTGGCTCTGGAGGAACCGCTCCTGTGCCAACGGTTGTCACCGACGCTTCAAACACAGCAACGAGTCCAAGACACTGTCAAAAGTATTCATGTCATGTTGAGTGTATTCGCACTCATTTTTTGTATCAAACTTCAAGCGCTTTGCATCCCCAATTTCAGACTTATCTTGAGACAGTCTTGAGGGAGAACATGAGGGATCTTTTGGATAGGTGGTACCGTCCACCTACCAAAATAATAAAGAAATATTTTGAGGTGGGTACACCCACCTGGGATTTACTATGTCTGAGAGTCCTGACTGCCTAAAATAATATTCACTGATTTTCAAGGGTCTTGCTAACATCATACAATTTGGAAAATGGAGGTGGGTGGTATATTCCTGGGGATGTAACAGGAGATTCATGGAAAGCGTCACACACAAGTCCTTGCACAGTCAACCACTAGAACATTAATTTGCCGCGCTCTTCTTTCTGCTGGGTGGGTACCTCCCTGGGGTCCTTGGATACTATCACCTCCAAGTCCTATTGAAATTATTTTGGGGTGGGGGACCCCTCCTGAGCGCCTTCAATAGCACCACTTGATGGCTTTGGTGGCAAGCCACAGCCCAACGCAGCCAATATGTTTGCTGATTGAAACTACTTTTTTTGGGGCTGGGGTACCTCACTGAGACCCTTGGACGGTATCACCCGATGCCAGTTTCCCAGTCCTATTGAAATTATTTTGGGGGTGGGGGACCCCTCCTGAGCCCCTTCAATCTAAGAGAAAAAACAAGTTGCCTATTCATAAAATGCACCGACCAGGTGCCAGTATCAAAATGTAAAAAAATAGAACATCCTGCTACAAAATGCCTCCTTGAGCCTAACAGCCTCAAAAGCACTCAAGTGTATAAAGTGCAAAAATGGACCTCATACCTGCAAAACCTTCAAAAATGCGAACGGATGGAAGGTGTGCCCTGGCCCCGTTCTAGCTCTTAGGTCAACATGAAGCTCGCGCGCTAAAGCTCCTTTTTACCTGGTTGGGCACTTGAGCCAAAAGTATATGGCATGTACCTGTATAGCGACTATACTGGGACCCCATCCCTATTGACACCCCCCACATCCGTACTTCGACGGGGAAGGGAGATGAGTGGATGTAAAAACCGGAGAACGCACCACGTTCTCAAAAGTGCATTGGAGGTCAACCAGTATGTCCTATTGAACTGAATTAGCAAAATATCTTGCATTCGCTTGAAATTTTGGACCAAACAGGCAATGGAGCTACAAGCGGAAAACGTGCACCTACCTATGGTATCATGCGATTACCAATGGTGTGATACGTAATCCTATCTCACTCCCATGATGCCAAAACGGTCATCATGAATTACCCAAGATCCCTCAGTACATGAAGTACCGGCAGTGGTATGTCGGCACGACCCCAATGCTCAACCATTCGTGAGTTGTCGCATGTAGTCAGCGCCGACAAAGCCAATGTAGTCCTTGATGAGCTCAACGTTCCTTGGGTTTCCCGCTCGGATCTGGTCCTCGAAGAGCTTCAATTTCCTTTCCTGGACATTGGATACCTCTATGCCATAGTAGCGGCATGCAACGAGGATCTCCTTCGTGACATTCTTCCTCTCCGATTTGATGGCAGGACTAATGTCGATGAATTTGTATGGAGCGGCACTTTCGTCATCTGGTTTCTGGTAGTAACTATATCGGCTCGCTCCGAAGGTCTTCTTGATCAAGCGTCTGATGAAATTCGAGATGAATGCCAATTTCTCGATGATCTCGTCCTGGGTCTCAGACTTTCGAGCCTTTGGATCACTCGCGCTACGCTGAGTGCTGCCGACCTCTTTGAGGTACTTGTGGCTAAGCCCGCAGCGGATTGCAGTGATCATCATCGGATGAATAACGTGGGCGTGGAATTCATAGATCTGCCACGCTTCTGTTGCATACGTGTCGTTGGTCCATCTGCTCATGCCTACGACCTCGGCTTTCTGGAGACGTCTTGGAAACCCAGTATCCGGATCATTCGGTACTATCGGCCATCTGTTGAACGGAGTGTCGTGCCGCTGTCCATCGTCGAACATTCGTAGTACATCTTCCCGATTCTCGAAGCAGTTGATGTCGAATGTTGCGTTGGCCAAGCTTTTGATCAGCTTCATCAACCTCAAGTCAAATTGCTGTGTGACAGCAAAGTTGTGGTCGATGGGGATCGCAGCTTCTTGCGGCAGTTCATCAATTGCGAAGGGGAAAGGCTTCGGAAGTTCATTCCCGTATCCATCTTGAGGGACCTCCCGATACTCGGGTTCGCCTTCAGCTTCGTCCGGTCGTTCCTTCAAAATGATAGGAACTTCCTCCTCTTCCTCTCCTTCGGATTCTTCGATATCAATGACCTCTTCGGCTGTCTTGCGTGCTTTCTTGATGACTTCATCAATGTTTGCACCTGCAGCAGAGGTTGTTTCACCGGAAGAACTGGCTGGTACATCTTTCGGAGGTGATCGTTGACTGCGGTCCCTTGTCTCCTTGGGTACCACATGTGTGAGCTTCCCATTCGCGATCAAAACTGCTACGCAGTGTGGACATATCGTCAATCGCACATCGACTTCGCCAAGACAGTTGGGACACGGCCTTGAATCGTAGTCTTTCATCGCTCGGCGATACACGATCTCCTCGAAGAGTTCCTGCCACTCGGTGTTGTTATGCTCTGGGTAGACACCACTCTCCTCGATCATACCCAACATCTTTGAGATTTTGGCGTCGTCCTCGGAGTAGGTATCATCCAGAACCTCAACCGCCAGGCTCTCAAGCTTTTGAAAGCGTGGAATCATGATAGGGTTTCCGTATTTGGAATCCAGAACAAGGTAGCTTCCAGGGTCGGGTTCTCCATTGAGTAACCGGATCCATTCGATCTTCTCACGCTGCCCGGGCTCCGCATTGTCGCATTGCAACCATGCCCCTTTAACCTCATCGAAGGGAACGACGTTCTCAACCAGTAGAGAGCCAGTCGCTGAAATGAGAAGTCCGTACTCCTGCAGCTTCCACACCGGAATGTAGAGAACCACTGGGCGATCACTCAATGCGACTTTGCGACCCAGCCAAGGTTTGCCCTTGTAGCCCTGCTCCCAGGCTCATGGCGGAAAACATGTGAAGTGAATAGAATCCCTTCCCGATGAACCGAGACCTCCCGGCACCAGCCCTCGTCGCATGATTGAAGTCAGCGCTCCGAGATTGGTTGCGTGAAATGCAGTCACCATAGATAGGGCCATGTCGTTGGTCATTCTCGATCCAATGTGGTCGATGTCAATGGTAACGTCATAACCTCCGCCGTCCGTCGAATGTGCCGAGGTTGCTCTCACGGCCACGGGAAAGCACCATCCATCGCTATGGTGGAGTCTTCCTTTGGAGATTCCCATGTCTTTGAGTTCGTTGATCCATCCCTTCTCCATCGGGTCATCAGGCTCATTGAGTTCATCAGGATGGACGCGGACCGCCAACATTTGGAATCTGACCCTCTTGGTAATGCGGAAACACTCATAGTTCTGGTCGAAGAACTTCTCCAAACGTGCCTTCTTGGTCACAATATCTATGTTGCCATAGTGATAACCGTCTTCCCAAACTGTATTGTCACCTAGCAGGTCTTCCCGTGACACCCATGCACCTTCATCGCATTTGATTGGTGCGAGTCTTCCTCCTGTCCTGAACTGACGTCCAATTCGATGTCTCAACTTCGCTCCCAATCGGCGACTCAGGGCCTGGCTCGCTTGGCTGTACTCAGGTACTCGACAGTCTGGAGTCGGATACTTGTGGTTGCCGTAGTCGGAGTTCGTTGCAGCGAAAGTGACTCCGTTGATCGGTACTAGTTCAACTTTCCCGACCATCGTCATGGGGTCGATCGGCTTGTATCCCTTCTCCTTCCGTGTTGGTAGGGGGTAGAAGTGATGGCATGCCTTTGGTGTGAGGGAGCTGGAGTGCACAAATGCCTCCTCGACAAACTCATACACCTGTCTCATATCCTTAGGGCCTGCTTCCACAAGCTTCCGCCCATTGTAGGAATGTGGTCCTCCTTCGACTCCATCAGCACTTTCGATCAAGGTGAATCCGTCATGGTCAAACATTGTCACGACTCTTGCTTTCAACATTTCTTTGCGCTTGAACTCGCTGTCGACCTTCCTTTCTGGAGTGGGCGACGCTCTCTGCTTCTTCTTCTTAGGCTGCTCGGTTGGATGTCCTGATGGTACATCATCGGGTGCAACCTCTCCCTTCACTCTCTTCTTCCAATCACTCAACACCGAGGTGACTGTAGGTGAGGATGAAAGGGTTCTCTTGCAATTGAGAGTGGTGTGCCCCGATTCCATGCAGTGGATGCAGAATTCCGCCCGCCCGATCTTCTTCTCAAATTCATCGATGGCGTGCAGTATTGATGCTTTCGGGTCGGACATGTCAACATCTTGCTCCTCCTTCTCCTGTGTGCCATCAGTCTCCATATCGACACCATCGGTCTCCATATCGGCACCTTCGGCCTCGGGCTCGCCAGTGGCTTCTGGTCCCTGCTCTGGCTCCTTTCCAATCTCGAAGAAGTGGTCGATGTCGAATTCTGGAGGTGGCATAGTCCTCATGCGAACGAGAATCAGCGCCACGTTTGCCGCCTCATCAGAGTGCGGGTCCATGGTTCTGATCATCGATCGCTTTCGGTTCTCATACGTTGTCCTGTCGTACAGCGATGCAGTGACTCGTTTGATGGATTCCTCTAATCCCGTCCTCAAAGCTTCGATGTCACCCCATCCCCTGAACAGGTGCCTGAAGAGTTGAGCAATTTCGAACATGCCCAGCAACGCTTCCACCATGTCACCTACCCGTTCCTCCGTGGGATCATTTCCGAATATAGTGCGGAATACATCGGGTTCCAATATGGTCTTGAGGTATTTGGTGTAGCATACGTTGCCAAGGTCATAGGATCCCTGGTAGTACTTGGCGTTGCCGATTATCTGCTTTTCCACATGGATGCTGGGTCCTCTCCTCGTTTTGAAGAAGTTCTCCGTCATTG